CAATTCAGAAAGTTCTGTGTGCGCGTGTGGGGACCAGTGGGTATGAGCCCCAGACACAGCCCCAATCTGGGGTGTCCTCCTTGCTCCCCACCTTCTGCTTCCCCCGGGGGACTAGCCCTCCTTTGTCATCTCTCAGGTGACCCAGTGTGGTCAGCCCAGCACAATGCCTGTGGCCACCAGCTGCAGGTCTCCTAGTAAGAGTCCCAGGAACAAGTGTGATTGGGCACTGGCCAGGCAGCCTTAGGTCAGCCTCTGCATTTTCCTACAAAACGAAGTAGAGGCCCAAAGAAATTTGGCAGAAAGTTTTCCTGGTGCATTTGTGAGCATGGCCGGGACGGGGGTGGGGGGGAACCTAGGGAGCAATGGCACAGAAGAGCGGAGTTAGATGTCCATCCTGCCCAGCTTCGGAGGTCCTGCCAATCACACAGTCTAGTTCCTACCAAAATGAAGTTAGGGCCCAAACAAAATTAGCAAAACGTTTTCCTGGGTCTATTTGGCAACTGAGAGATTCCTGCAGACTTGCAACAGAATCGTAAGATGTGAAGCCAGCAGGGCCCTGACATTCATGGACAGTGGAAATGGCATAAAATCGAATTTTGTGTTAAACCAGCAGTGCTTTGAAGAGTTCTTTATAATTCTATTCAAAGGTGTCCCCCTCCCTATTGTCTGGGAGGCAGACAGCAGATGCTGTCAACCCATTTACAGAACCAGAGACTGAGGCTCCAGTGGCTACAGTCTTGGCTTGCAGGGTTGACCGAGAGGCCCCAGACAAAGGGAATAACTGGTTAAGCACAGGACTTCTGACTCCCGAGTCCACTGCTCCTTCCGTAATTTGGTGTTTAGAAAGAGGCCAGATTGCATAGAGAGGTTAAATGGCAGGTGGACACCCGGGGTCAGTGCATGTTGTGGTCAAGCATGTGTGATCTACGGTGGGGTGCAGTGCTGGCGCGTCTCTTGCGGGCTGAGCACGGGAGCTACATGCATCTCTGTGCCTCAGTTTCCTGTGTAAACACCTTAGAGAAGCGCGTGGCTTGTGGCTGGTGCCTGGTGGGCACCGCTGTTCTCTCAGGCAGGTGGAACAAGACTTCCCGACAAAGACGCTCCCACTGTCACCACAGTCCCGGCTGAGTACAAGGAAGGATCCATATCCGCAGAGGAGCGGCCCTCTGTCTCCTCATCTGCTTCTCTCTTTCGTTTTAATCTCACGGCCCTGCCAATCAAACCACATGAAAGAGTTGGGGTGACCTGCGGGCTTGCTGATGAAGGCCAGTCCTGATTAGCCTCCTAGCTGGATGGCAGTAGAGGGTCTTTATCTTTCCGTTAATCTGGCTGCCTCCACATCTCATTTTTAAATTTCATTTTATCAACCTTTTTTTGTGCTCTTGTTTCTGGCTATAGGATAAAAGATTATTCCGACCATGAACAGATTCTCCCAGGGTCTTCCTTTGGTCACAAGCCACTGCCAGGCTGGTTTCCACACACCAGCAGGGAAGGCAGCTGTCCAAGCTCCCCTCCCATCACAGGGGCTCCTGTGCTACCCACACCTGGCCTGTCTCCGGCATCAGTCCTGCTAGCATTAACAACAGTGCTGAAAGCTAAAATCAAGACCCTCATTCAGACATAAAATGAGCCTGTGTTGAAGGCTCATTAGTTGAATGAGGGAACCGGTAAGATGTTACAACAGTTCAAAAGTGAAACCAAAGAACCACAAATGGACGCGGAGTGAGGGATAGTGAGGTGGATTTAGGAATGGCTGCAGCATTATTCTCCACGGGGCACACACCGTGTAAACTTTTTTTCTTATTCAAAATATCCTTACAGCCTCCCTACCTTTTGTTGAAAATAATCTCAAAGAAAGATTCTTCTCCATCACAGAATAAGGCTGGTCTCACTGGGTTACTTGCAAGAGTGGGTTAGGGTTAGGGTTATTATAGGCAAGAGTGTCAATGTGCCAGATGGGACTTTGTGAGTTTGTTCTGCTGGAAGAGATATCACAGATTTTTTAAAAGCCTCTATTATCGGCTATCCTGAGCAAGAAACCAAGCATAAAATCCTGTCCAGATTTCACCTGCAGGACTTGTAACAGTGGGGAGACTCCTCTCTTCCCAAGGTCCCCACGATATCCAGGGCCTGGCCTACCTGTAAGTAAAGCTCTTCTTCCCATCTGCCAGGCTGGGACCCTGACAGCCTCCTGGCTCATGCAGGGGATTTTGTGACAGGGACTCCGTGGAGTTGCCCTCACTCAGCTCCTCAGGAGTTTGTGGTCACACCGCAGCAGCTGAGAAAATACGGCTCCCACAAGCCTTAGTTGCATAAGCCTTCCCCTCTTACATGACAGCAGAAGGAGGAGGGGTCCTTGTGGGCGCTTTGCAAATAAATGGGTTGCTGTGAGAAGTCAAGGCTTCATAAAAGTTTCTGAATTTGAGGAGAGAGAGCAGTCAAAAGCATTTATTATCCAAAATTGATTCATTTTCATTACAAAAAAAAAATCTGCTAGGTTGTTAAGAGTTACAGCAGCCTAAGAAGAAAGAGAAAGGGCTGTCTAGGCAGAGAGCAAACACTGAAACAACGTCACCAAGGCCCAGAGGAGCCCAGTAGCGATCCTGTCACTTCGTTCTTCAGTGGGGCTTGGGTGAGCGGCCTCGGAAGTGTCTCTCACTAGGAAGTACTCTCCAGCACACGGGAAGGGCTGAGCGCGGCTGAGGCCTTGAAGCAGGCAGCACTTGCCTCGGCCACACATGGAAGAGCCTGGGGACCACGAGGCCCCCACCTGTTGCAGGGCCACCCTACAACTGGGAGACACCCCCTAGAAACACAACTTTGAGTGGTGGCTTCTAAACCAAGGAGCCCAGTAAAACCAAATGCAGGTTCCTTAGGCCCACACCAGACCTGCTGCACGAGGATCCCTGAGCTGGGAGCCAAGAAATCAATATTTTTCTGACCAGACACGCACTGTGAGGTGCACCTGCCTCCTCAGCAGGGCCCTTTGCAGCCACCTCCCTCTTTTCCGAAGTCTCAGGCAAATCAGAGTGTTCACAGAAGCAGTTTTTCTTGCCTTTCTCTCCCGTAAGCCCCACCTGCTGCAAACGGGCCCCACAGAGTAAACCTGCTGCAGGCAAGGTGAGTGGTGGATGTCGTGGCCCTGCAGCAGGGGAGGCGAGCCTCCCGGGTCCCGTCTCAGGGGTGGATGGTCATGACCCTTGTAGCATGCACAGTGAGCCTCCCGGGTCCCGTCTCAGGGGTGGATGTCGTGACCCTGCAGCAGGGGAGGTGAGCCTCCCGGGTCCCATCTCAGGGGTGGATGTCGTGGCCCTGCAGCAGGGGAGGTGAGCCTCCCAGGTCCCGTCTCGGGGTGGATGTCATGGCCCTGCAGCAGGGAAGGTGAGCCTCCCGGGTCCTGTCTCAGGGGTGGATGGTCATGACCCTTGTAGCACGCACAGTGAGCCTCCCGGGTCCCGTCCCAGTGGTGAACAGTTGTGACCCCAGCGCCTCCCCACCACAGACACACCCAGGGAGGCTGTGGGGTGGACTGAGGCTTCTGCTGAGGATGGCACCACGGTCGGGAGGACCAGCCATTGCTCTCCAGGAATGAGAGGCAAGAGGGGGAGGGTACCTAAGAGGAGGGAGATCAGAGCAGCAGGCGATGGTCAGGAGGAGTGTCTGTGAGACTGGAGTAGAGAAGCTGGAGCTGGGCGCGTGGTGAGGACTCCGGCTAGAGCCCCGAAACCACAGGTGCCTAGCCAAGGAGATGGACATGCCCATGGGCATGAGGAGCCAGCAGAGTTTGGGGAAGAAGAGTGGCACCATTGGGATGATGAGCCAGGGGATGGGAGAGGTGAAAGGGGGGCTGCTGAGGGACTACTGCACCAGGCAAGCGTGACCAGGGCTGAGCCCCGTCAGCCGCCTTGCGGTGGAGCCGATGTCATAGGCTGCAGGGACCATACAGATGACACAGACCACACATAACCACCCCTCAGCCCTGGTGCAGATTCCAAGGGGAGTGACCGGCAAGGCGAGAGTAAGGACGCAAGTGCGAAGGGTGGCATTAGTCACAGCAAGGCTCAGTCTGGGGGGAGAAATGTTTCTGTATTTCACTTTTTCCAAGTAAAGAAAAAAGCAAACTAATCTTAACTAAAAATAAATAAACATAAAAATAAAAAAGATGCACTGGGCATCAAAAAATAGCTGTCTCCTCAGGCCTGCGACTCCCCCACGCTGGGAGCTCATGGACACAGGGAGAAGGCATTCGCAGCAGTGGGCCAGGGCCACTGTCCAGGGAAGCGTCTGTCAAGACGGAGACAGGCTTTGATGTGGCCCGTTCAGACACTGTGCGGCCGCGGGGAGCCCCTTCCTGGCTGTTCCTGACATCCCTCTCCATGCAGGGGTTGGAGCTGAGACTCAGAGTCAGGACCCTTGAATGACAGGTGTGGATGCAAACGGGGCATTTCCCTCGCTGTGGCTGGACACTCAGGCCATGCACACTGTCGTCATGGAGCTGACCACCCAAGATCATTTGTGATCATTTTAACTTCCCCCCTTTGATTTGGTCGTTCACCCTCAAGCCCTGGGGACCCAACTATGAAAAAGCAGCCTTTTTTTTTTTTTTTT